CTCCCTCCCCTCCCCTTCCATTCCCTTCCCATTCCCAGCTCACTGTGGGAAAGCCCAGATGAGAGTTGTGAGTTTTCTGCCAGAAGCAGCTAACATACTTGTCTTCTTTTTTTCCCTTCAGAATCTTGCATCCTATTCATTGTTAAAGGTTTCCAGCTTGTGGGGGGGGGGGGGCGTGGGCGCGCACGCCTGAGTCCAGTTTCTGTTGTACACATTTTCTTTCAGAGAATTCACTTCCAAGGGAGCTTTTTAGCTTTTCAGAAAATCCTTCTGATAGAATCTGCGTTTTGCTCACATGTTGCACCCATATTTCCTTTTGTTCGCTTAAGTCTGTGTATGCTGAAAATGAATTACATGTAGTTAAAAGTTTTTCTGGTACGAGAAGAGTGCAAGCTGCATTTTTAATATTATGATTTTTTAACTCAGACTTTTTGTTTTATAACAGCTTTAGATTTACCAAAAAATTGAATAGCTACTACAGAATTCTCAATAATTTCCCTACTGATTTAAATTAAGGAACTTTTTATAATTAGTCAATATTGGTATGCTACCATAAGCTAGAAGGCCATAATTTATTCAATATTAATTTTTAACCTAGTATCTTTCCTTCATTTCAAGTCCCTCCCTAGGATACCAATGTATCTTTTTAAAAAAAAAAATCATATTTCTTCTCTTTTGATAGGTCTACAATATGTTTCAGCACCAGAGCCTGGGAATTAAAATTAATATTCAAGTTACCAAGCTTGTCCTGCTACGACAACGTCCTGTGAGTACCTTTCAAAGCATGCAGAAAACATAACGCATGCCTGAGCTCCCTGAGGCTATTGGGAGCTTAGGAGGGCTCCAGATTGCCGTCTGTGTTCCTTATCCCTGGCCTTGAAGACAGCAGCAGTTCGAGGAGAGCGGGTGCACACACTGGAACCGCTGTACGTGTGCTGCTTGGTTAGACAGTCCTGTGGGAGCTCCAAGCCTGGGCTGCCCACACCCTCCTCCCCTCCTGGAAGGTCTTGCGTGTGGCTCTCGGACATGTGCAGAGTTACCGAGGGCTGTGGAAGGGCGGCTCCCCGCCGGTGCTTCACGCCAGTTGGGTTCCCCGTACGTGAGTACCTTGCAACTTGACGGTGCTGTCTGAGGCATAACTTGCCGCGTTGAGCAATCAGTGTGAGACTGAGGAGTTCTACTTCCTTGGCTCGCCATTCTCTCTGTTAACAAAAAACAGTTATTCTCTTGAATAACATAACCTTCCTTTAGACTTATAAGGTCCCTACTGATTCTCAGGATCCCCAAATATGCACTAATGTTAGGCTTTAACTTGGGTGCGGTGACATAGAATGACATCTTGGTGAGTAGCTGTCTCCATCTCAGCCTGCCGTAGCCTGGCTGGGAGCTCTGGCTCCTCTGGGGTGCGGGTGTTCACGTCTCTGACTCCCCCCTCAATCTCTTCCAGGCCAAGTTGTCCATTGGGCACCATGGGGAGCGGTCCTTGGAGAGCTTCTGTCACTGGCAAAATGAGGAATATGGGGGTGCGCGGTACCTTGGCAACAACCAGGTCCCAGGAGGCAAGGACGATATACCTCCCGTGGATGCTGCTGTATTTGTGACCAGGTAAAGCTGGAGCTGCCACAGCTGACCTGAGGCGAGAGGAGGCATTTGCTTTATAGGGCAATGTTGTTGGGAGGTCAGCCCCGGAAATCAGATCTTTGTCTCCCCGTCTGGGCTTCAGTTTCCTCAATAGTTAGCTGGGGGTTTGTGATGATCCACAGTTCTGAGGGCTGAAGGTTAACGTGAGTTCTTGCATGTAAAGCAATCTTCCCAGGCCTTCATGGGCACCAGCCATTAATTGTCCTACTATTAATACCAGAAAAATACTGCAATCTTAGCCAAAAGTCTTGACAAATTGCAAAAAGTTCACCTCGTACTTCTCCCCTCCACCAAATACAGACTGGGAAATTCTGACATGGGTGTGAATATGCTTCAGCCTGGCCTCAGCACAGTTAGGAAGGAGAATGCGTGCCCTCAGCCTGCAGTGGGAGGAAGTCCACGTGGGCAGGTAATGTGTCCCACACGGCCTCCATAGACACTGTTTACAGGGACTGTAGGGGCCTCTGGAGAGTTGAATCTTCTGGGTGCCCATGGGAGTCCCACGCAGCCTCCATACGGGCTGCAGGACTGGACTTCCCCTTCCAGATTGCAGAAGAAAGCAAGGCTGCAGGAGTGGACAGCAGGATCTCTGGGCTACCTCCCAAGCATAGCGGCATGGTGGCTTTAGTTTCCTGGGTTGCTGTAAAAAAAAATGATCACAAGCTAATCCACGTGAAATGATGGGGATTTATCCCCTTATAGTTCAGAGCCTGGACATCCAAATTCAGGGTGTTAAGGCTGCGTTCTCACTGGTGGCTCCAGGGAAGGATCCTTTCTTCCATCTCAGGCTTCTTCTTTTTTTTTATTAATTTTATTGAGAAACAAATAGCAATGAGACAGCTTCAAAACCAATTAGTAGGACAGTTTCAATAATTAATACATTGCATATTGTTGTCTTCATAGCAGTTATTCATAGTACAAGATGCAGACATATCTTGTCCAAAGATTATTAGTATAAATCTTCCTTCTCATTGAATTAACAAAAAGTAGCTGTATATCTATCCTAACTATTTTGAATATACAGATACGAAATGGCCCTTCATTTGTATCCCCTTTTTTTGTTTAGTTGTCAGAGATGGGTATTCCATTGCCATTTAAATATTGTAGGTGTGTGAATTCAGCAAAATAATCCAATATAGTCCAGTAGTCCATAATTGTAGTGGGTTATCCATAGGACTGGTAGTGTCAGAAGTTGTTGACTTGAGCCTTTTACAGCTCAGCATATTTATATGACTTTACTTTTTCTACCTCGTTTTTATACTTTTCTGTTGGATGGTTAAGACCAAAATAAAAAAGACCTATATTACAAGAAATGTAACTTTTGTATCTAATAAGTTCAGTCAAAGCCCCTCAGGATTTACCCTGAAACCCTGTACTGCAGTCTGTAGATCCTCTGTCAGTGTCAGCCACGTGGATGAGTCACGGCCATGGCTTGACCACTTTGTTCTCTGTGTATCTCGTGCATCCCGCCAGGCTACCTCTGTCATCACATGCTCTCTCCATATGTGTCCCTGTGGCCACATTTCCCTCTCCTTAGGGGGCAGTGATCATTGGATTGGGACCTGCCTTGATTCACTAGGACTACATTTTAACTCAGGACTTGAATGACCTGCTTTCTGAGTAAGATCACCTTCACAGTAATGAAGGTTAGGACTTGACCATTTTTCTTCTTAGGGAGCCACACGCCACCACAGATATAGATGTGGCTATTTTACTTGTCCCTGTGTCTTAATACCTTTCTTGGTTGCTTTGCTTTAAGAATGTAAATAAAATTATGATGTATTTACATCAACATCCTCCTATAGAAACTATGGAGAAGTAATTCTTAATATAATCCTTTGGGTTAAAAATACCAAAGTTGTATTGACTTGCTAGAAATATATCAACTTTGAATTTTAAGGCTTACATTTTTTTTTTTTTTTAATTTAGAGAAATCCCTAATTGTGTGCTGGGTATTTTTTGTTTTGTTTTGTTTTTCTGGGTTTAGAGTTAGCGAGGTAGAAGAAATTTATCCTGTCATTAGCTTGAGGACCAGCTGAGCCTCCTTCAAGAGTTAAATACCATTTACTGTCTTGTTCTTTAGTCCAGACCGGTTCTTTGCTTGCGTCTGCTTGGCCTGGTGCTGACAGCTGCCAGTCCAGTGGCATCCCAGCGCCAGAAGGAACTTGGGTGGCCCCAGGTACCAGGTGGCGCAGCTCCATTTTCCTCCTAAAATCCCATGGCATGCACCTTGCCAGTGGCAGACCCAAATGGGTGCCTGATCACTCTTAACGATGATTCATTCATTGCCAGCCCAAAGGGTTAAAGAGTGCATTGACCCTAAAGGGCCTTTTCTGAGGGCATCTGTTGCTTGTCCGGGGTGTTACTACATGTAGAATGGGATGTTTTTTGAAACAGTCTATTCTGTTATTCTAATGTGACTGGGCATCAAGGACCAGAGGATGAATATGACCTGGTTTGTGTCCCTCCATGCTAGTGACCTCCTGGTACCACCTTCCCTGCAGCCCCTGCCAGCCACACTGCAGAGGATGACACCAGTCGAGGCATTTGGAAATGCACCCTAAGGACAGCAGCTAGGGGTTAAGGGTACCATCTTGGAGAGCAGATTCCATTTGGGGAGCAAATAGGAGTTGTGGTGAGCACGTGCTAAGTTCAACTAATTCCCCAAATGGTATCAATGTAGGTCTGATAGCCTTTCCCACGAAGGTACTCTAAACAGCCTCCTCATTGGACTAAGCAGCTGACCTTCCAAGTTCCCTATTTTGAAAGTGACTTTTATAATCACTATATAAAATGTACAAATTCCAATTGTTCTGTTTAAAAATGTTAATTGATGGAAATTTTCCCTGTATTGGAAAAAGTTTCCTTTCTATTGTTTCATTACCTTACAAGTTCATAAGCAGCATTTATCCATATTAGTAATCATGTTTTGGTGGTGAATATTTAAAATTTACTCACAACTTTTAAGTATATGGTACATTAGTTGTAGACACAGCTGTATCACAGATCTCCAGAAATAGGGGAAGAAAGCATGTTTTAAAGGTCTTGTTTGGGGAATGAACAGCACATTTTTCCAGAGACAATAAATGTCACTTCTAGACCAGCCCTTTTACAGAAAGCGGCAGCAGGTGGCTGGACCCTGGGCTCAAAGGTACTGTCACTTAGACGTCCTGCCCTGCCTCCAAGCAGCCAACTTACATGGAAGAAATATTTTGTGTAAGATGTTCTTTTCTGTGTATCACCCCTATCTGACACTGTAAAATAAAACCTAGGAAAACACCGTGGGTTAGGAGATTGTAGAGAAGCTGGAACTCTCGCGTGCTTTTTGTAGGACTGAAGTCAATTTGAGAGCGTCTCAAAAAAATAGTAAGAGTTGCCATGTGATCCAGCAGTTCGGTGTGTAGCCAAAAGAACTGACGTGTGGGTGCTCTGAGATATTTGTCTGCTGACGTTCACAGCAGCATTGTTCCCCATAGACAAAATGTAGAAGCCACTCAGTCAGCTGATGTATAAGCAAAGTGTAGCATAAGCATCCAATAAAGTATGACTCTGGGCTGATGAGAGAGTTCAGCAGACTAAAGTGCCTGCTTAGGCAAGCGCAGGCACCGCAGTTCTATCCCCAGCACCACATGCCATGCCAGCCCCGCCCCCGGCCCCACTGAGCTGGCCCCCAAGACCAGGCATAGTGGTGCATGCCTGTAATCCCAGCACTGAGGAGGCTGGAAGCAGGAGGATCACTAGGAGTCCGAACTACCTAGTGAGACCTAACAACCAAATACATTAAAGAAATAAATAAAAATAAAAAATAAAATGACTCAGCCTTTAAAAAAAAAAAAGTGGGGGATTTTTACATGTGCTATAACACAGAAGAACCTTGAGAACATTATGCTGAATGAAATCAGCCAGCTACAGGACAGTGACTGTTGATGCCACTTTTACGAGGTACTGAGAGTAGTCCCATTCATAGAGAAAGAAACTGGAGTCAAATTTACCAGGGATAGGAGTAGGGCAGAATGGAGAGTTCATGTTTAAGGGGGACAAAGTTTCAGTTTAGCAACATGCCAAAGATCTAGAGGTGGATGGTAGTGATAGGTGCGTGACAATGCGAATATAGTGAATACTCTTGCATACTTAATAGTGAAGAAGCTACGTTTTGACCATATGTATTTTATGGTAATATTTCTAAATTGTTCTTTCTGACTCAGCACATTGGGGAGCGATCTTGGCTGCACGGCCGTGGCTCTGGTCAGGCGCTAGAGGTGCAAGGTCCTTATCCAGGGATAGAAAACCTGACTGTGCTTTAGCTGCAGGCAGCGGCACTCCAGGAGGGGAGCCGCTGGCCTCTTGTGTTGCCTCTGTTATCTGCCCAGGAGCGGGTGTGTGCTTTCCCCATCTCCTGCCGACACTCCAGCACTACCTGAGGAGTCGCAATTGCTCCCTCCTGCTGCTGTGGAGCTGGGGGCCCGCGTGGCTGCTTTCTCTGGCGCTGCAGATGTGATGCTGATGACCTCCCACTAGAGCAGGGAGGCAGTGTTGGAGCTGCTGGGTGGCGGAGTTGGCTGAGAAGCGTCGTTTAATAAGTAGAGGCTGAGAGCTCTGATTCCCTACGTTGGGCTAATAACGGGCTGATGCTTTTGCAAGGAGATTGTGCGCAAGGCAGCTGCTGCCTGCAGAAGCGATCCTCAGCGTCCAGAGTAATCTGAGCTGAGCAAACCACGTCCCTGTGTCCTGGGCCTGCAGCTGTCCAACTCAAGGGCTTCATCTCTTTCTTTCCACATCGTGGGCTTGTCTGAGCCTGAGAATTCTTCTCCTGGACACTCACAACCTGGCAGATGGCCACCAGGGAGGATGTGCTCCTGACATCAGGGCCAGCAGAAGCCGCCAAGCCAGAAGCAGTGGAAGCCAGGTTTTCTGCAGCTGTGTCTGGGGCCAGAGACAGCCACTGGCTGCATGGGTCTGGGGCCATGCAGAGCTCACACAGAGCACGGGGTGCTGGCAGCGAGGCACCCACCTGGCGTGGCTCTGCCTTTGGTTCTGCACTTGGCCCAGGAAGGTGGAAATCAGGAGCGTCCTGCTAAGCTCAGGTCTGCCTTGCTGCTGAGCATGGCAGGGACCCCATTCCCACCTCCAGGGTATATGCAGGGGTGGCCACAGCTGCTCCCGATGCCACCGATGTCCCTGGTCTTCATCCGGCCTCCCTCCCAGTTCCACGGGCCCAACCTTCTGCCCTGCCTCCTCCACTGCCTGTTCCTTAATCTCCTAAAAAGGAGTCTTTTTTTTTTTTTTTTTTTTTTTTTGGAACTGGGGATTGAACTCAGGCCCTTACGCGTGCCAGGGAAGCACTTAAGGAGTCTTGCTTTTATGGCTTTTAATGATTATTCTCTCCCTTTCTACAAAGTTCCTTTTGTTTTAGGTCTTAAAGCCTTTGTGGTCTTAAAGGCTTCTCCTCTTAAAATAGTTTTAAAATTGGTAACTTGTGGACATTTGCTCTACAACATGGTGATTGTTGTTAATATTGACGTGCTTGAAAATTGCTAGGAGAGATTTTAAAGGCTGTGTTCTCACCACAGACTCATGCTTAACAAACAAGGTGAGAGAGATGCTTATTTACTTGACTTAATCATTAGCCAATATCTACATATATCAAGGAATCACGTTTTACCCCATAAATATGTCCAATTTTTGTTAATAATAAAAATATTAAATTGACCAAAAATTGATGACCAAAAGCATGCATCATTGTTGCAAATTTTGCGTGGCGCCCAGCAGGAGCACATCGTAGGGCCCTCTTCTGTTTCCCAGCTCTCAGGTGGGGTGCTGCCGGAGCCAGCACTCTGTGTTTGGGTGGTGACCCTGGAAACCTAGAGGCAGAGCCGTAGCAGCGACCCCTGTTGGCAAAGAACAGCTCAGACCCCTCACGGTGCTGTGAGAGCGGAGAGCGAACCCCTTGGGCCCACAGAAATCAGTCAAGTCCAGCTTTTGATCATCTTTACTGTCTCGCTCATCCACAGCTGCACACCTGGGGGATTCTGGACAGCTTTAAAGAATATGAGTGTTAGTAATGGTTTTGTTTGTCTTCTCTTGCACATAATTCACGGTCGTTACGGCATGGGAAACAAGTTGCTCCCAAGTGGCTTGGAGAATCCACTACAGTGTGGCGATTTTGACAGTGGTCTCTGATCAATGGCTGAACTAACATCATCTTCCAAAATTTTTTTCAGCTGCTGGAAGGTGGCTTTTAAGCAACTGTTCTGTGTGGAATAACTCGGCTAGAAACAGCGGCCCCTCTCTGGGTCCCTGGGCTGTCTTGGTTACTTTTTCATTGCTGCAGAAACATACATGTAACCTGCAAGTTTAAGGAGGAGAGGTTTATGTGTTTTTGCTCATGGTTTGTAGAAGGCTCAGTCTGTGGTTGGTTGACTCAAGACAGGGTGACACTGCAGAGGGGAAACAGCTCATGGTGTGGCAGGCAGGAGCTGGCCACCTTCCTCCTTTCCCTTTTCAGTCCATCCAGGTTACAGCCAATTGGATGGTGCTATCTACATCCAAGGTAGGTTTTCCCTCTTCCCAGAACTCATTGCGCACATCCAGAGCTGTGTCAAATCAACCAATGGACTAATCCAGTGTCCTACACCCCTGCTCTAGTTACCTTTAAAAGCCAGTATCTATGAGTCATGAGGCTTTGGCACGGACATCTAGACTCAAGCCGTAGCATGGGCTGACCATTGTAAATGTGGGCAGGTTACTCTTGGCGAACATGGCTAGTGCGATACATCACAATGGTCTGTGACAACTAAAGCAGTCACGTTGCAGAACAATGGATCCTGGTTAATTATGGTATTTTCTTCTCCTTCTTGCAGGATACCACATAAACCTGACTATGTTTGTTTTTTTGTGTTTTTTTTTTAGGACAGATTTCTGCGTCCACAAAGACGAGCCATGTGACACTGTTGGTAAGTTTAGAATTTAATAATCTAAGAGGCTGACATATCCTGAGACTTCCTGATAATCCCTCCAGTATGAAGTTCAGTATTTTCTGTTGTTTCTTTTCCTAGAAGTGAATGGACTGCTTTTCTTGAAAAGTTCTGAAGTTGGTTATGACAGAAGGTATCTAGATCATAGTCAAGTAGCAAGTTATGAACAATTAGAGGGGAAGAGCCACCAGGCTGCCCCATGTCTGTAGCTGGGGACACAGTTAGCTCTAAGAGCTCTGGCCATTCAGACAAGGATCACTTGCTGGGTCATGTATGCAGTTGTACACAGAGATAGTGGCTCACACCCGTGCATGTGAGTGGTCTTTATTGAGCGCCCTGAGAATAAAGCCTGAGCACTTCACTGAATTTTGGTCTTTTTATCAACCAGGGCATCAGACTAACTTGCTTGGTGACCCAGATGATACTGATACCAGCATGCCACTCTGGAAAAGCACGGGCTTCATCTTCCCTTCTCACCTTCTTTTTCTTCCTCTCCACTTCTCCCCTTCCTTGCCATCTTCCTATCTGTCCTATTCCTGTGATACCTGGGATCAGCTGGAAACCATTCCTCTGGTGTAGGAACAGAGCACTAAGTTTATAGAGGAAACACCAAGTCTTTCCAGTTTTCTTTGTTGTTTCCCAAACCTTTATGAACAAGAAGGTCAAGATACGTAGGGCTAAAAGCAAAAATGCGAGCCTTGTGTCCTTTGAACTGCAGGAAAATAGAAGACTGAAAAGGGCTAATACATAAAACTCCAGTGCTAGCAACGTGTTTTTCTCATGGAGTCTCAGCTCTGTGTGCCCCCAGGTCTTTGCTCTTCCTCTGCCACAGCTGGGCAGGGTAAACCTCCACTTTTGTTTTCTCCATGAAATGATTGCTTTAGATTCAGTGATTTAAAAGTCCTTTAAAAATCTGGTATGATGCTAGCAGAAGTTTGCTCCATGTTAGAGTTTCTGAAATGACTTTATTTCTCTATTCATCAGTCCTCTAAACATCAGAAAGCAAGGTGTCAAGAACCAGCCGGTGGGTCTGTGCTGTTATTTGCAGCTGTCTCCCTAATGGAATCTCTAGACAGTGACCCCATAAGACATGCTTTGGTCAAGGATAGCTGGTGAGGCTGAAGGTTGGTCGGGGCTCTAGAAGATGTGTGTTGATGTCAGTTTATCTCCACCTCCTGAACCACCAAGGCACGCACTCTCTCCAGAAAAGCCTGCTCCTTCTCAGTTTTGCGGGGTCAGCTCTGACGGCCACCATAACTTTCTGTGGGACTTTCTGCCCCACCCCCTGCTGCTGGTTAGCTGTCTCAGGTGGCCTGGGGAGGCGCTGGTCCTCATACAGCCCTAGGCTGTGCCTCCTGCCTGCCCCAAAGCCTACACCACAGTGGGCTGAGCTCTGGCCTCTAACCTGTGTGTCCTCAGCACCTGGCTCAGGCTGGGAGCAGCTGAGATGCTCGCCATTGTAAGCGGGCTCCGACTGACTGCTCAGGGGAATGCAAATGAGTGGACAGAGATGAAGGCCCCGTGTCTGCGCATCAGGCATCTCGGCACATCGTTGTCTTTCTTGGGGTTGAGAGCTGGCTTTTGTTTTCTGTGGAATAGATGGAAAATCCCTCTACTAATAGGCCTCCCATTTTTTGGCAAGGTGTTCTCAGGGCCCCTGTGGAAGAGTGGGAAGCTAGCTGTAATCAAGCATTCGTCCCTCTTCTAAACCAAATCACCACTCTACTCTTATTAGTTTTCCCAGAGTGCTCTACTAAATATAGACTGCAAGGTTCAAAGAAGAGACAGTTATCACCATGTAGTACTGGAGCCAGAGCATCCGGGTTTGCAGGTCTGATTTCTGGGGAGGCCTCTCTCCTTGACTTAGCGCCACTCGGCTCTAGCGTGTGTGCTTTAGTTAGTTTCCGTGGCTCTATCTTTAAATACAATCACACTGAATTTGCTGGGCTGGAGAGCATGATTCAGGCCATAATACTGTCTGTCTGCTACCAGGTAGCACCGCATGCCCTTCTGTGACACAGGCATGTCCCATTTCCTGAGCAAAAACATTTCTGGTGGCAGGACCACTTGTAATGATTCTTCATGCGATGGTTGCTTAGCCAAGGGCCTCACCAGCAGCCTACAGATTCCTACTATGTTGGTACTCTAATATTTCTAAATTACCATTTTCATCTCTTACAAAAGAACTCAATTCCTTCATGAGTACAGTTGATCTTGTGGAGTGTAATAAAACACCCCACAAGATCAACTGTGATTTTTTTTTTTCCTTTACAAAACTATTTTTTATTTATTTTTTATTTTTTGTATTTTAGGAAAGGGTCTACAGGGTGTTCATTGTGTCACTACTAGATCGGACTCGTAGTGATCTGCTTGTTTACAGCCTCCCAAGAGCTGGGATCACAGGGGTGCACCACCACACCTAGTCTCCTGCCCCTGGGGCGGGGCCAGCATGGCAGGCCTGGGGATTGAATCCCCAGCCCCTGTGCCTGCTTGCAGGTGCTTTAATCTCCTGAGCTATTTGTCCAGCCCTTACTAAACTTTTAATGAATGAGACTTTATAGTACGATTTGACATCAGTCTCCGGTCCCATTCTGTAAAGTTCTGGGAACTCTTAGCAAGTTGTGATTTTCTAAACAGAGACAACACTTGGGTCTGCTTTTATACTCCTATAGTTGGACCGCCACATTTCTAGCACTTAAGATTTTCATACTGTCAAATAGATCAGGCTTGTGTTTTAACCCATAGTCGTCACAGTTTATGATGTTAAAAGAAAAGCAAATGCTTTCTGAATTTACATGCACGTGTCATCACTGCACGTACTATCGAGTCAGTCAGAACAATGAGGTGACTTGGTGCTCTTAACAATCTGGAAACTGGGTAGGGCTGTCGTATACCAGTCTCAGCATCCACTTTATTTCTGGATCTATGATTTTTTAAATTTAGAAATAATTATAGGATCACAAAATGTTGCCAAAATAACAGAGTGGTCTGTCCTTCCTGTCACCCAGCTTGCTCCAGCGGTGACATCTTAGCATTGCATTGTCGGAATCAGGGAATCACTGGGCCCACAACAGTGAACTAGACTACAGCTCTTAATCCAGCATCACTCGTTTGTCGTGCACTTTTGTGTAGACGGTGTCTATGCAGCGTCTCTTCCTGGGTGTTCACAGGTTTCTCATTCACAGATTCAATCCACTGTGGATTGAAAATGCTTGGGGATTTCTATAAGTATAGACTCTTCTTTCGTCTTTCCGCCCTGAATGATGCAATACAACTATTTCTACAGCGCTTCCGTGGCGTTAGGTGTGAATAATCCAGAGAGGAGGAAGGTGTGCAGGGGTCATGTGCAAGCTCCTTACTGCTTCACAGAAGGGAACTGAACAGCCGCAGATTTTAGTATGTGAAGGTGCTGGAACCAATCCCTCATGTGCACAGAGGGACAATGTAGTTGTGGACACCGTATCGCATGTGTAGATTTGTCCATTTGCCCTGACAATCTAGAGCAGACTGGCTTTATCACTTCCAACGAACGCCCAGGGCCGCCCTCGCCTGGAAGGCACCCTCTTCCTCTCCCACGTTTCCTAACCCCTGGCAACCACTGGTCTGTATTCCATCTCTCTACTTTTGTTATCCCAACATCCAATTTATTTTTACGTTTTGTTTTGGTTGCCCAGAATGAAAAAGTAATCTGAATCCCAGAGATACATGCTTGCCAATTGAAAGGATTTGAACAGCTGTGTTGGTAGTGCAGGATCCAGCTGTGTCCTGAGTTCTGCAGATAATGAGACCCTTAATACTTGAGGTCACTAGGAAATCTAAGGATTGCCAGTGTTATGTAACTGGGTTATAACCACATGTTTCTGTATTTATTAGGCTATAACTCATATACAGTGAGGAGCACAAATCCTCATGCATTTTTAATTTATGCCTACACTGTTTTTGATTTGGTTTATCTCATGTTAATTGAAGTAATTTTAGGGCAGAATTTTGACTTCTGTTTTAATCAGTTTTTTATATCGTTGTAAAGTACTGTGTGCTGCTTCGATCTGCATCTGGACTACTCCCTGTGGCCCATATGTGAGAGGCGTGGTCCCAGCTTGATGCTACTGGGAAGTGGTGGGACCTTTAAGGGGCGGGGCCTCCTGGGAGGCTGTGGGTCATTGGAGGAGCGTCCTCCAAGAGGATTGTGGGATGCCCTGTCTTCTGCACTTTCACCCACTTTCCCTCCCTCACTTCCTGGCCATGACAAGTGGGCAGCTGCTTCTGCCATCTGCTCCCACCCCGATGTGTTGCCCGTCTCACAGGTCCGCAAGCGATGGCACCAACCCATTGAAATCTCCACAACTGAGAGGCAACATCAACCTTTCTTTTTTATAGCTTGATGACTTCGAAACACTTTATTACAGTAGTGGAAAGCCAGGGCACACACAGAGAACATAGAATTTGCCATCTGAGCCCATTTGAAGTGTGTAGTTTAATGACAGTCAGTCCATTCGTAGTGTTGTGTGATCACACACACACCTCTACTCTTGAAATTACTATGCAGATTGAGAGTAGTAACTGCCTATTAGAGCTTTCTCTCATGCCTCCCCTCTAGTCACTATCCCTCCAAAAGCAACCTGTTGTATTTTTAAAATAGTATAATAGAGATGCTGGTATGGTTTGGATCTGAAACATCCCTGCCCAGCCTCATGGCTGGAAGGTGACTGGATCGTGATGGTGCTGTGCTATGTGGGCGATTCGTCCAGAGATGGGTTCAGAGCTACTAGGAGGTGGGGTCTGGTCAGAGCTGGGGGGTCCTGGGGGCCGCTCTGGCTCCTCCCGCCTTCTCCCTCCTCTCTGCTTCCTGGCTGCCATGACGAAAGCAGCTTTCTCTGCTCTCAGCCAATGACCGTGGACTGTTGCCATGAGCCAGATGAACCTCTCCTCCTCTAAACTGTAGGCATCAGGGGTTGTGTCTCAGTGACAAAGAGAGGGAC